TAGATAGTAGCTGATTCTCAGACCTACTCAACATACTATTGATACACAAATAAAACCAAAAAAAATGGCTGAAAAATGTATAGTATTGTATAGCTCTCAAATATATTAAGTGTATAATTTATGATGTATAGTGAGTAAGACAGGAGACTTTTAGGCGGGAACGCGAGGAGTGAAGTTGTGTGATTTGTTTTATTTTGTCTATTTAGTGTTTCTTCGGGGTTAAATGTGTAATAATGGTGGTTTATTAACTGTCTATTATCTGTGAAAGTGCACAAATGTGGGAAAATGAAACAAAGCCGCTGGACGTAACTTTTCGGGATCTTCCAAAAAGTCCACTGAAAAAATCTTAGTAAATGACCACAATTTTACTAAGATTATATTTCATCCCATATCATCTCAATTCATTTTATTTAATTTCAACCCAGTTGATTAGTGTCTCAAATTAATCATCTTCATTTCATTTCACTCCATAATATCATTTTGCATAAAAATATGAATAATATATAAATTAAAATAAGACATGACTTAAAGGTCTCAGTTACCAGGTCATAAAATCTCTTAAAAAGAAAAAGTAAGACAGGAGACCGGCTTCGTCCTCAGCCCTACTACGTGATGTTTGCTGGATGAGTGGTGACTCGTGGCGGGGATAGCTGATCGTTGATAGTTAATCAGTAGTCGATCGGCGAGGGCGGGAGATCAAATTCAATTTAAAAAAAATCATTATTAAAGGAACTTGAAATTATAAACTCTGAATAAGAATTTATCGTACTACAATTATAATATTTGATTGCCATCTTGCAACCATATTGCGGATCTGTGCATAGAATAAAAAAAATATTAATCAGGATGGAAAAATAGGGGTTGATCGTATAAGAGTGAAAATTGAGAGTAATATGTTTTTATTTATTTTAAGTCATGACAAAACAAAATAAAAACTTGCAAAAAAAAATTAAAGTTTATAATTAACAAATAAAAAATAGGGGTTGATCATAGAGGGATGAAAAATTTAGAGTATCATCAGAGTTTTTATTTTATGCATGACAAAATAAAAATAAAAATGAAAATCTTGCCAAAAAAATTAAAGTTTATAATTAACAAATAAAAAATAGGGGTTGATCGTAGAGGGGTGAAAATTTCAGAGTAATATGAATTTTTTTATTCTACGTCATGACAAAATAAAAACAAAATTCTCGCAAAAAATTTTAAAGTTTGTAATTAGCAAATAAAAAATAAGGGTTGATCGTAGAAGGGTGAAAATTGAGGATTGTATGTATTTTTGTATGTTGTATCATAAAAAAATAGAAATTAAAAATTTTGTCTAAAAATTAAAAAAAAATTTTTGGGGTGGACTACTCCTAACATTTAGGGGGATGAAAAATAGATGTTGGCTGATTCTCATAGATACCGGATAAGCACAAAAAATTTCATCAAAATCGGTCAAGCCGTTTCGGAGGAGTATGGCAACGAAAACTGTGACACGAGAATTTTATATATTAGATAATAGTATTCGACAATAGAACCATGATAATGTTCAAACTTATAATTTCAATTAATTATAATCGAATTTCGACTACTGCGGGACCATTAGCTTAAATAAATTTGCATTGGTGTAAATTATTATAACAACATATTTCGGTCTAAGCGGCCTATTTGGGTCAACTAAAGGCGTAGACTGCCTCATGATACACAGCAACTCATATATGTCCAAACGCGGATGGAGTCGCTCACCTTACCTTACCTTATGTAATCGTAGTCTCAATTGTGAAGATATGACAACTTTTTATGGTCTGATAAATCTATGCATAGTTTATAAATTTTAATACATAAACTTTCTCAGATTTTAACGAATCCCAAATATTACTGGTGGTAGGACCTCTTGTGAGTCCGCGCGGGTAGGTACCATCGCCCTGTCTATTTTCTACCGTGAAGCAGTAATGCGTTTCGGTTTAAAGGGTCGGGCAGCCGTTGTAACTATACTGAACCTTAGAACTATACCTTAGAACTTATATCTCAAGGTGGGTGGCGCATTTACGTTGCAGATGTCTATGGGCTCCAGTAACCGCTTAACACCAGGTGGACTGTGAGCTCGTCCAACCATCTAGCAATAAAAAAAAATGATTCTAAAATGACGGAAACCGTAAAGTAATTTAAATTAAACAACCGAGTAAAATGATTATACAGCATTCATCATGCGTTGACAGCCCTGTGAGAGAGAATGGTCACGGCAAATTCCAGAGACTGGCGTCAAGTCGTTGTCGAATTGTTGTAAATTGTGCAATTAATTACTTTTCGAATCCCGGAGGCTTCAGTGACGTCAATACTGAAACACTTCCAGCGGACAATCGAGAGAATCGTTAATCAAAACGTTTGACATCGACTGAGAGAAACAGTTGATTTAGGAATATTCAAAATTGCTTTTGAATCAATTAAAACGAATCGATTTGTAGCTTCATCTGCGTCATAAAAATTCAAATGATGCTTACAGAATTAATTTGTACATTGTAAACCTAAACGCGTGATTTTAGATTAAATTAACAATAAATAATAAACATAGAAATAAATAGCCTAGTATGATCAACAAAAAAATATTGGACAAGATAATATTTTTAATTCAATTTTGGTCGAATGATTGAATGAACAGTGCTATTATTCAATGGTTTCGTTCGTATACTGAAAAGCCTTGGCCTTAACATTATGTTAATGACCAGAGACAGCAGACAACGCCGATGTTCTGTTTGATTCTAAAACGTGTTTCTTGCTATTTGGTCGCACGTTTATGTAATTTTTCCACGATTGCTGTACAAATACCAAAAAAAAGTAAATCCGGTTTTAATTTATTTTTCGGTTATGGATAAAGACTTGGGGGTTCGACCTTTTTCAATAAAAATATCATTGAAAACGATAATACTAACTTCCCGCAATGTGCAAGCAATCTATACACGATTTTCTATAACTTATATAATAATTTAAATTAATAATTTATAATTAATTAATTTCAAGATAATTTAGAATCAATAAATTAAGGTAACTAGTGTCTATGATACCTACATACATAAAATATATGTATATTCAATTAACTTGATACGGTAACTAATATAACAATTATTAATACTGCGACGACTTCTTCTCAAGATAAGCGGTGGTATTCATAATATTGCCATATCTGTTGCTTTCCGTGACCACTTTACACCGGGTAGCTATAAACCTAATTTTTTTTTAGTTTTTGGCATTCTAGGGAAGAATTTTGTCATGGTACGTTTGGGGTTTTACAACATTTGAAAGTACTGCTGATCATTAATCCAATGGAATTTTGTTAGTGCCTAATATTACATGTTCACATTGTTATGGGCACCAATTTAATAGGTTAGGCCGAAGCTTGCGTGTCTATCGGCTCCTGCGATTGTTAATATCAGGGGAACTGTGAGTTTTTTTAATTTTTTTTTATTGTCCTTGTAGGCATACGGCCCACCTGATGGTGAGCGGTTACCGTCGCCCATGGACTTCAGCAATGCCAGGGGCAGAGCCAAGCCGCTGCCTACCGGTAACCCATTGTCAACCCATTGGTTAAATCAGTCTACGTCAAGTCCATCATCCGACTCTAATAGATCATTAGTTTTATACGTCTATACAGCTTATTCAAATACTTTTTTCCATCTATGTTGGTAGCCTTTAGAGGCTATTTCAGCTTCTCCTTGACATGTAGGTGAGCTCACGGGGCTCAAGCCGGAGTGTTGCTAACACTGACCCTAGCAAGAGCAGTGCTTCGCAGAGTCTACCACCCGACGGAAACGCGACGGGTTTGGCGAGGACTGTGACTGGTGCTTGAGATACCTAAAAGTACCGTTAATGGAACGGAAGGATCCGTAAAAAAATACTATATATGTACATTTCAATGAAGAGTTTAGCTAATTTTATAACGATTATAGATATGTTAACAAAGATCTGCAATCGAAACCGAGATAAGACATCTAACAAATCGATTTAAAATAAATAATAAGAAAATAAATACCTACATGCGTACCTAATCTTACTTCGTTATGTCTGTTTTATTCAAGATCAACGTGGATTTAATTTGTTTAGTTATTTCTCTATACAAGTGTATAAAATACTTGGAATTAATCATCTAATCAACATTTAAATTATATATAGATGCATAGCTAGGCGATGACTCGCAAAATGTTTGCATTTATAGTCTCGACGCCTACAACGATGTAACTGACTTGAAATATCGTGATTTGATTTTCAATTCTAATCAGAACTCGATAAAGTATAAAATCATTCAATTCACTCACCGTTGATTGGTTTTGAAACTACATTTCTATTCTGATTAAAACACGATTAACGAGTTTATTTGCGCATTTATAAAAGTTTAATGTTAGTCAATGGACAGTACGAAGTAGAGCTTACGAACAAAATGTGATTGAAAATCTAAATCCAAAAAAGTGTTTATTTAAAGTTATATCTACATGTATACATAAACAGAAGCGAAGATTTGTTTTTGAACTTCCAATAAATTTAATACGCTCGAGTCAGTCTCGTAAATGTACACACGTGTACAAAATTATTAATACCTAAACTGTGTTTTAAAATGGAGGCACGGCTATGACGCAATGTCAAACCAACGATGAGGGTGTGGTACGATTAGATGTTGGATGACTTAAAATAGACTGCGCACCACACTAGACACATTCTGGTTCTTTCTTAAATATTTACTTGATTTTTTTGTGTTTTACTTCACTCAACTATGTAACGTGTATTTATTGTGTTGACTTATTTGCGTAAATCAGGTGCTACGTTGTTGTGTTAAGCTGTTTTGAGCCTTAGATATAGTAACTTGAAAGCCGAAACCAACCTTAAGACATGATGTCGAAGTTTCAATTAGAAGTGTAACGATTGTTCACCCTTGAGTACAGCAGAATGCATTTATAAAACATGAAACGCGAGTAGAAAACCATTATTTGGTCATATTTATTTAATTAAGTGATATCAAAATTTCTTACCTTAAAATCATCCTTGATGGCAGAGGACAACAGACCTCCAGAGAATATGATGCCATCAACTAATACATTGCACATGAAAGACGCTCCCACCACTACCCAGCCCCAGCCTCCATCTGGAGGAACCACCTGCAATCAAAGCAGAAAGAAGTAATTTTTGACAATTTCTGAAACTAAAACGGATTTATAATTTTTTAAATTAAAAACCGCCTAATGACTTTGGTTTTTAAGAGCGTTTGGCGAGAAATTTTCCTGTTATATTACTTTTTAATAGTCTTCTAATCTTTTTCTAGTCTCATGATTTTTCGTACCCATAAATTTCATTCCCCATTTGCATCTCATTTTTCACAAAATTATATGCTGCTTAATCTAAATTTCAAACGTGGGATGTTCTATTTTATTGTAATTTAGTGGACCGATACTTCACACACCCATCTAAGTAGGTAGTCGATTTGATATTCCTTTCACCTGCACCATCAAATTGGTTCATTACGTCAGCCATGCTTTATGTGAATTCAATTATTCATTTTAAATCATATTTTAAAGCAAACTCTAACGTACTAGTTTGGCTGTATTTTATCAAAAATTTGTACAAATTTATGCCCAGAGTATGTTGCCAAACAGCAGAGAGACCTTAATATATCTGTTGACAATTGACAGAAACAAGTTTATAAAAGAAGTTTTTATGGAAAAATTGTCTACTGCAAAGAGTGTTCTACAATTGTCCTTTGTGATTCTCACATAGACTTTGGCGGGACCGCGAGAAGCTTAGCTGTGTGAATAACGGTAGTTTATTAACAGTTTGCATCTGTGAAAGTGCACAAATATGGGAAATGAAATAAAACCGCTGCATGTGGCTTCTTGCGTTCTTAAAAAATGTTCCTTAAAATCCCTTTAAATAACTTTACTGAAGCTTTACTTCATCTCATTTCATTTAATGTCATCCTATTTGAATTCTTATGTAAATCAACTTCACCATATTCCGCTCCATCTTATTTATTACCTACATAACAGTACCTATATGTATTATAATATAATACAATAATATAATAATTGACGATTTTTATAAATTCAACAATGGCATCGCAAAAGCCAAGTGCCATATTGAAAAATATATATTGTCAGGAACAATAATCTTTAGTATTAACGAAATGAGAAGAGGTGTGTGTTTAGGCATCGTTTTTTTTTATTGCTTAGATGGGTGGACGAGCTCACAGCCCACCTGGTGTTAAGTGGTTACTGGAGCCCATAGACATCTACAACGTTAATGCGCCACCCACCTTGAGATATAAGTTCTAAGGGTCTCAGTATAGTTACAACGGCTGTCCCACCCTTCAAACCAAAACGCATTACTGCTTCACGGCAGAAATAGGCAGGGTGGTGGTACCTATCCGCGCGGACGCACAAGAGGTCCTACCACCAGTAAACGTGCGCCTCAGCCAGTACTAACTAACCAGGACTAAATACTACAGAGCATATCAATTCTAAGTAAAAAACAATAAAAACGCTGACTGCTTTCGATGTAGTTATTGGTTTATTTTTAATTTATTACTTTTCTGTTACGTTTTTAATCTATTTATTGTTTTATTCCAATGTTTACACCATTAGTAGAATATAAGCCCCAAATAATAAGGATGCCCAAATTACGGCATCTGTTAGTATCTCGGAAACATTCCTCAATATCTTTGTTCTCTTTTGCCAAATCTTCTTAAAAGCCATCATGAGTTGTTAAAGCAGTAATATCATAATCGTCATAGATATCTCAGCGAACGCTAACGATATAGTTGCAAGTAAACAAGCGTTCACTATTTTCTCGGCTATTCTACGAATGGTCTTTCTCCTATTGAGTTTCTTCTCTTCTGCAGTCATTGTTAGAATTTTTCGTTTTTTATTTATTTTCAGTAATATTGTTCTAGTCCATATTTACGAAAACTTCATTACAACTTCAGTTTTCATAACAGTTATATTTGCAAGTTTCTACGCATATTGATTTGGTCTCAATGTTGTCTGTTTGCATACAGACATTTTTTCTTCGTGAATTTTTGAGGTTACTAGATTTTATCCTTTCGAAATTGAAGATCACAGTACATAAATGGAGTCCAATTATAATAACTGTTATTGTATTTAAACATGAACTGTATTTCATAGCAAGTAAATGAAAGAAAATACAGGCATTTCGGTTCGTCCCATTATAAAACGTATTTCTCAAAATCTATAGGCCATGTTTATTATTGACACTGAAGTCAATATGGCGACATTTGACAATAAAGTTTTTTTATGTAGGTACATCAGTTTGGTCTTTTTCGAAAAGTTTCAGACCTATATTAAAAACGAATAAAGTAGTATGAGGTGATAACTTCTATAACAAAATTGTAGAAAATACTATTTGAGTATTAATCATCCATTGTTGGGCAAAACCAAATCAGATAATGACAAATCAGATAATACTCTACTCTTTTCTTTTCAAATATAGTAACATACTATTATTAAGAAACGCGAAGCTAGTTTAATGTTCTAAATTAAAGACTTACCAATGCTGCTTCTGGTTCAGTGTTTTCGCTTGGAGAGTCGCTTCTCCCGAGCCCACTCTCATCCGAAGAAGGACTCTCAAAAGGCCGCTCATCTGTTGCTACCCTCACCACCATCTTGACTTATGATCTGATCAAAATAAAATAAAATATAACTTTTAAATTAGAATGTCCAGCACAAAGGGAATTCATTGGTTCGTGTGTCAATATCAGCTGGTTAAGTAATAAAATCGACAACGACTTCATTAGAATGACGCTTTATACGAACACTAAAACATTATCAGTTTTAAACCAGAAAAATCGAGTTCGAATTCGCTCGTAAATATAGTCATTAAATTCTATATAATAGCATTGACTGAAATTCTTCTGGGCGAAGTAAGAAATTTTTTTTTTCATAATTTATATTTGAAATGAAGATAATGCAAAAATTACAATTAATATTACATACATTTACAATACATGATAAGTAACGTAACGATTTGTTACAAATATGGTTGTAAGAATGAGACTTTCCTTATATTATATAAACGAAATGCTTCGCGTTTTGGTCGACTATATACGTCGTATTTGCAATATAATTATATGTACAGCGTATGTTTATGTACAAGTGGCGCCAAGATTATAACCGTTGAAGACCTTCAGTATTTTCCACTGTGAGCCGAATTTATCGGAGTTGACCTATGGTTCAAATAGCTCACTATACAGTTCTTCGGTCGGACAAACTGTCATTTTAAGTTTAAATTTAAATTTGCGCGCAATATTCTGAAACGCAGCACAAGTTTTTTTTAACTGACTTCAAAAAAATAGGGGGTTCTCAATTCGACCGTATGTTTTTTTTTATGTTCGTTACCTCATAACTTTTGACTGGGCGAATCGATTTTGATGATTCTTTTTTATTAGAAAGCGGACGCTTCCCGTGTGGTCCCGTTTCAATTTAGTGCAGTTCTGATAATGGTATACATGAGAAAACCATATAAGTCTTAAATTTGGATTAAGTAGGTGCGCGACAAATAGAACTCAATTACTCAATATCACGGCCAACCGATTTCGATGATTATTGTTTTACTGTATATTAATTTGTTTTGGAATATATATTTTTTCTATTTGAAGTCGGTTTTTGTAAAGCATGTCTATTTTATTCACGTAATTGTTGGACTTGTCATGGTTTTTTTATGAAATTATAACTGTAAAAATGCACCTACTTTTTTCATAATACTTTTTATAAAATATTTATGATCATCGAAGTTTATTTCGTATTTACCAACAAAATAACGCTCAATAGCTTAATATAAAAATGAATGAACCAGGATAACAATGCTAAATAATGTATTTATTTATTCAATTATTCAAAACAATTCACAAATGAACTTGGACTTGGAATACCTAAATATCTACGAATAAACAATTCTAGCAAAACAAAACATCCTAAATGAAGTATCGTAAAGCTTATTACTTCATTATTTAAAACGTAATTTAAGGTGTCGAACAAAATAACTCAAAGTCCCGTGTTTCCACCACATGAATGTATTGTATTTAGAAATAGGAACTTTTCGTACTTTGGTTTGTTTAAGATTATTTTTAAAATGTCTAAGCTTAAAAAAAGCAGAATTTAAAAAGCCTGGTTAATTTGCTGTGCCTGGGTCCATAATATTTCATGTGATGATGACTGAAAGATAAAATAGTATTTTGAATATATTCATTGTAAGTCTCACAAACTTTTTATGTCAATAATCAATCCTGCTACTGAATCATATGTGTCATGTACATATATTTAAGCATAATAAGATATAATATTAGAAAATAGAAGTTGCTTTACTGCCTATTTTTTCAAATTTCGATTTGTAATTTTTCTTGAAATCAATTATTAATTGAAACCCGTTAGTATGATTGATAATTTGTGTTTTAAATTAAACATACTTATTTTTTTATATTCTCAAGTAAGCGTATTTACTGTTACATCTCATTGCATTCGAACAAATCACATTCAGCGTACACTGATAAGAGTGCGATAACATATTCGACCTCTCTCGTTAACTGTAATTTTAACTGCGTTCATATTCATTATCTCTAACGTAATAAAACTCCATTGGAAATATTGCAGAGTTTTATAATATTACGGAGCTGTACGTACAGATGTTAGCGTTTATAAAATAAATTTGCTTTGAAAATATATTATTTGACTATTTAGGTATGACGTGATTTGAAATAGCAAAAATTGGAAGGACGGGGTAGTTTAGATAACATTTATACCGAAGATTGTCAATAAAACAAGTAAAATTAAAAAATAGTAGCTTGAAAGTAATGGATTGAGAATAAATAAAAACACTATAGATATTCCTTCAATAGAATTTTTTATAATGTAATAATATTTTTTTTATGTGCTTTATATTAGACGATAATATATGTACTTATGTAAAGGCATTAAGCATTTTCTAGAATAGCAGAATATTTTATTTTTGTTAATAATTGGATTTTTTTTTTCTTCCTACCTATGCTGATAGCCTTGAAAGGCTATTTTCATCTTCACCCTAACGTTTGTAGGTGAGCTCACGGGGCTCAACCGGAGAGTTGCTAACACTGACCCTAGCAAGAGCAGTGCTTCGCAGAATCTACCACCGGATCGGAAACGCGACCCACTGAGAAGATCCGGCGAGAAACTCAGTGGGCTTTGTCTATGGGTTAGTTCGCTCGTCGAGCCCTTCGTCGCAAGCGACGGGTTCGACGAGGACGGTGACCGTAATTGGTATTGCTGTCCCTCGTGGATGTCAGCAATGCCAGGAGCATAGCCAAACGGGTGCCTAATAACTTAAATTTACTCTTATGCACACGAATTTTTATGAACGCACAAAATGAATACACCAAGTTAATAAATACATCGCTTATCGTAAACATACGCGCAATTCTCGTTATTCATGTAATGTTATCAAATTTTGTTATCTATACTTGCAAAAGCTCTGATAATAGCTTGTGCTGGAAAAGCTCGTTGATAGAGATTTTATACGTTCCCGATAAATTATCCGTTATCTATCCTAATAAGTGGGTATATTTATATTGTTGAAAAATATTTTATATGTATTATTGAGATTACTGATAGTAAGGTCTCTTGGGTCTCGCATGGGTAGATACCACCACACTCTCTATTTCTGCCATCAAACAGTAATTATCGTATGCATTGTGGAAATCGTTTGGAGTGTGGGGCAACCGTTGTACTGTAAAACTGAGATTTAGAACTGGTGGGTGACGGCATTTGCGTTGTTGATGTCAATGGGCTCCGGTAGCCACTCTTCACACCAAATGGACAATGAGCTCGTCCACCCATATAAGCAATTAAAAAAAAAGATTCCTCAAAACAAAGATTTCCAAATGAAACATTTTCAAAACGCAAGAAAATTCCATTACAATAAAATATAACTACTTCATTTAATATCGATGTCTTTTAAAATTGTAATAAAGTGAAAACGATTTAACGTTTTCGAGCTAGCCAATGGTTTTATGATATTCATAAAACCATTGGCCATGTATAAATTCAATAAAATAATTGTGTTTCAATTTACATTTCTCACTTTCTTCTCATGCCTTAAGTATGGATGTAAATTATTGTGTACAATAAAAAAGACTATAACATATTAGGTAGTTTTGTTGTTAGTATTATTCTCATGTCACTTAAATTCGTATGTCCTGCTCAAAGTCGAGTACAGCTGTGTGAATGTTTTCAATTTAACGAACTTTTCCGGTATAAATTGCAATGCACGACTGCAGAAGTCATTACTGACATTCCAATCTCACGGATATAAATAAGTAGATTCAAAATTTCGTCTCAAGGAACTAAATTACTTAATTTAATCTGCCTTTGAAAATATAAGTTTAAATTGCACCGTCATTTAAGACTTCATTATTTAAGTGTTAATTATCTTAATTATTACTAGTAGCGGGGCATGTATTGGGACCTTAGCTTTGTGGTATAATCCTTGTTCTATTGTCTAATCGATCCTTTGGTTCTCAAAGTAAAGTGAGCATTCACATTTCCTATCGTGATAAGCGTATCATAACATTTTATTTTTTTACGATGTATCAAAATTCATTCATCAAAGTAGTTGCATAAAAATTCAACAGGATGAAGATGTTTTTTTTTTTGAATCGAACATTATAGATATTTAATCATTTGGAACTTTCCAATTATTAAATGATAGTGTTATAGTTTCAGATACATAAATATAATAAAAATTACTAGGAACTATGTAATTTGAAATTTAATTATTAATTCATTAATTATTTCCCATGTGTATTTTTACATAGCATATTACCATGACTTGAACCACCGACTTTGGATAGGCAGATTTATGTCGAAAAAATGTTAATATGTGATTAAGAAAAATACCCACGTATCTAAGTGACTTCTGGTATTCACCATACAAAATTGCTAAATATATTTATGTGCTTAAATAAATTTATTATGAAAACATTACTCTTCCTTGGCAGTCGGATAAAGAGACCTATAAGTTTGAACACACATAAAAACAAATCCGTAATCCAACAGCTTACATACAATACAATCATTTTATATTTTTACAAAATTATCACATTGGAGACCTTTTTTATGTGTGTTTATATTAAATCATTCTAAAGATAAGAATTGCCAGAGTGATGAAATTTTGGTCAGTGTTTTGATCGCGTGGGAGTTTCATATAGATACGAATTGTAGACGTATATTAAGTCACAGAGTACATAAAATTATAATAATTTCAATACACGATCGTGGTTTTCCACCAAGTGCTTTGGATTCACCTGATGTTAAGTGGTTAAGGGAGTCCATAGACGAAAGCCAATGCATAAAATGCATTGCATGTCTCAATTGTATTGCAATGCAATTGAGACATGGATTGGTATTATCAATCTATACTAATATATAAATTTACAGTGGTATTTACGGATGTTCCGTTATAACTACTGAACCATGCCTCCGATTGACTTGAAACTTGGTATCCATGTAGAAAATACACGTACTTAATGGATAGGCTAATGTTTATATGAGTGTTGGACTCCCTAATAATAATGACAATAAATAATAATGTTAATTTTAAATGCCCAGCGAAGCGGGCGAGTACGGCTAGTTGTATCTAATTCTATCTG